ACAGTATTTGGGACACCTCTACATGTATGTATCTAGATAGCCTGTTTAATACCTGGATGCATTGCCATGCCACTGTGTCTATGTTATGACATTTCAGTAAGATGGTTCTTCAACCCATTCACCCCTAAGGTCACATCTGAACCTTACCAAATCAAAAACTGGGCAAGTCCAGTCTAAAAATATAGGGGTGAATGAGAGTGAAAGTGGCCCAATCTTCAGTCGACACTTTATTCTATGACTTGATCGAGCATGAGCTGTAAGGAGGAAGCAAAAATCTGAACAAACAAATAAACAATATATACTATTTTGTCAATACTTACTCGTTTCATACTGTAACCTGCTTCAAAGATGATAAAAGGCAGCATTATGTTGAAAAAGAATTCCGGATCAAAGGTAACCTACAAAACAGAAATGAATGACAGACAGCTGGTCTTATATATATATCATGTCACAGACTTAAGATATGATGTATTTCATCCAGTTCTGATCCCATGACAGTTAAAAAATAGCCTTACTGCTCACATGAGTTTCACTGGTCTTTATTAATGCTTTAGGAACAAGTTCAAAGTCAATCAATGCATCTGTTCCAGAAAAAGATAACTAAAAAAAGTTTTGGCCAACTGGAGGTCAGGGCATTTATTCTCGATTCTTGCACCAACATGAAAACTGAAAACACTTAGCAAGGATCCTAAGTACATAGCTTTGGCATTCATCTCTGTAGTTGTTCTTAAGATGAAGTAAAAAAAAGTCTCAACCAACCAGAGGCCATGGCAGCCATCTTTGAATTTCCTCACAGGCTTTTTAGATTCCACCTGATTTTACATCATTATATGATCACTTATATCACATCACTAAATTTCAAAATATTGGAAAGTTACAGCACTTGGTGAGGTTTACATAAGGCAAGGTTGGATTTAATTGCTTCATGTGTTTATAATGACAAACATTAAAAACTTGAATCATGCAGGTTATCTTTTAAATCTTTTCTGTTTGTTAAAAAAGAAAAAGATTTTTTTTTTACCTGTAACCTACCGACAGACTCAAAGTTTGTACCTAATGTAACAGGATGTAAATATTACCTGTAACCTACCAACAGACTCAAAGTTTGTACCTAATGTAACAGGATGTAAATATTACCTGTAACCTACCGACAGACTCAAAGTTTGTACCTAATGTAACAGGATGACAATATTACCTGTAACCTACCGACAGACTTAAAGTTTGTACATAATGTAACAGGATGTAAATTTTACCTGTAACCTACCGACAGACTCAAAGTTTGTACATAATGTAACAGGATGTAAATAATGTTTCTTTCTAGGATTTACAAAAAAACATGAGAGGTAACTGAAGTGTCTACAAACTCGAAATCTATATAAAACTACGGCAAATTAGGAACAAAGGAAAGATTCACATGGAGATCCTTGAAAAAGTACAACAATAATAAGACCAGGTGTTCCAAAAGGGTAAGCATCTTCTGCTTCATTTAAAACACCCGCCATAAATCTAGGTTAAATCCTAGTAATGTCACATCCTCACATCAAGAACTTGGATAGTGACAATAAAACCACACAGAACACAAGCGAGCATAATAAAAAACAATGACCATCACACATAGAAATAGCAGATTTCCCGGAGAGATCCTATATATAAAACTTGTCTTCATCAACCTGCATCTGTCTGTCAGCAGTGAACATCTATCATGGAAGTCATGATATTTGGAGCAAGTACTTGCATACCGAATTGACTGCGACATGTAAACGTCATCAGTTGGGGAAGTAGGGATGATACTATCAAGAAAGTGAACAATCACAATCAGAAAGATGAAATCGACCACTTATGCATAGACTAGTAGTAAGCCATCCCTGTTGGTCATGCTTTAATTGTATGGTGACATTACACTAAAACAATGTACCAGAGCAATGTACCATGATTATGAAATTCTTGCCTGTAAAAAGTTAAATTGTACTAAAAAAAAAGGTAACAAAATCTTCAAATCTTTTACGTGCATATATGACAGTGAAATATAAAGACTGGTATATGAATATATTTACAGCACGAACGATGGGAGCCATTTGCTCATTCTCGTTGACCATTCCCCACAGATTGTACTTGAGAGAGTGTAGTTTATCTGTGGAGTTTTCTTCTGTTTTTAGGTTGAGGATGACAGACGACGGTGGCTGAAATGCATAGAATGTCTCATTATTGGTCAGTTCCACCTCGGGCGTCTCTGTGCTGGCTGAACTCCCGTAGCGGATCACCATGCCTACGATCATACCTACAACATAGATATTATCATTACCAGTTAACATCAAACAGGGAACAAAATCTGAACCTATCTGTCTAACAAACTTCTTCATCTTCATCTTCATACCATCCTCCATCAATACTGACAATTACGAATTGTTTGGGTCTTGTGCAGTAGTGCGTTGTTATGTACAGTGATATTTTTTTCCTTTTCGAATTTGCTACAGGATTAAAAACAGGTTAAAAGCAGTGTGTTTTAGTTGTGTTGTTGATTTTGTATTTGTGGTGCATGTCCTGAATTCTGCTACATTAGGGTTTCTCTCACTAAAAAGTCACCAAAGTGACATCTCCAGTCTGAGCATGATCGTGAGGAATGGGCTAATTAACTTAGAACATTATTCCAATGAAAAGGAGTTTTGGCTAGAAAGTACATTTATGGCAGCTGTCCTAGTATAATAAATAATATAAAACATCTGATTAAAAATTGCAATTTCTAATTAGCGACCTGTATGGGCAGTCAATTATTTTATCGTGAGGTTTTAGTAAGTCCCCAAAAGTTGTTGATGATCATCAAATCAAGATCTGCATGTATAAGTTATAATATCATTCACACAGTGATTTTGCTACCTCTTTTCTACATTTATATCACGTGGATGTGTTTAAGTACTATTTGTGAATTGAGTATACAGTATATTAAACCCTACAAAACGGTCTTCCATTCACCTATATTTACCAATAATTCTGACAAAGTGACATTGATAATCAGAACTGACAAGTTAATTGATCTTACAGCTACACTCTTCCAGGCACTGACCGTATATATACTTGACATTGCTAAACTATAGTGAGGGCATCTTAGGGTTATACCACATTGCCGTAAAAGCTAGACATTTTTACTCCCCCTTCTGAGAAATGTTGTCCCGAAATTGACCTCAGCAATCCCATATATGCACAAGTCCTTTTTGTGTATGATCAATGCATCTTCCTTAATTAACTTCTGAACACTGGCCTTACATGATACCACAGGGTTAGTGGAGAAAATATCACTTTTAATGGCTTTTACAATTATATCGCATGTAACCTTTTTTTCCATCACTATTGTGTGCTAGAAATTATACTGTAGTCACAATGACAATTGCTGTGTTGAGATAAACCAAAACGTGGCATAATTATAATTGGCCACAAACAAAATCGGATACAGCGGCTATATAACACTATGACTCATTGTCAAATGTCAAGCTCTGACAGCTGTACAACTGTCTGGACAGGACCGTCGTATAAAGTACATCATGTATATTTACATATATATAAACATATACATGCTTAATATGTGTTTTGACTTTTTATAATTTATCAAACATGCATTCTCTCCGTTAACAAAACGCCAGCTATATATATATATACTGCCGGAGTGCGTCAGTGTCATCTGAACATTATCAGTCTGGATACGATATCGACAAATTAGGATTGACGTATTGACCCTTATATGACCATCTAACACAGTGCATTACGTAACAACTTACCGTAGATCATGGATAAACCCGACTCGTGCACAAAGCGTAGCCGGCGATGTTTGAATAGCCAGATTGTCAGAATAGTCAGTAGGAGGATCCCGAGTAATATGAGGATAGTGGCACTATCTGTCTTATGAACGGTGAGCACTTGCTCCTCTTCCTCCGAAGCAACCGACATCTTTGTTTTTTGAGACGACACACACAGAAGTAATCAACTAACGAGTCGGCATTACAGAAATACGAATACACGTCATGTTGTCATTGGGTTATGTCGCCATGTTGGAAACTCCCCATACATTGGTAGTTTCGTATTTTATAGGGTTTCCTCGGTTTCTTTGTAATAAAGTAATAAACTGAGTTTTTAATTCTTATTTGAATTAAGTGGGTTACAAACGTATTCAACATGTGTGACATTTTACGAATTTGTTCACTGTTAGTTTCTTTCGTACGAAACTACAAGCATTGAAAAAATCGCAGAAGTTCATTTATCTTCTTCTTCCACATAATTGCCTCCTTCGTCTTATCGAAGATTATGCAATGTTTATGATACACAATGCGCAGGTGAACACACAATTGAAAAGTTTAGTTTGTAAAAATTAAAAAGTAAAAACACTGATGTAGTGTCAGACGTTTAAAGCTGGTTGATTCGACCCAGCAGCCTTAAGCCTAGTGAGTTCGCGATCGGGGTTTGTTAGAAGTTTAAGCTTTTTTAGTTCCAATTCGTTGAGAGTTTTCTTAAAGGTTTCCAAGTTTGTCGAATTCACAGTTTTTTAATTCAAGTTCGTTCCAGTCTTTTATTGTTCGAGGGAAGAATGAATATTTTCGTGGGTATCATCATAATATAAACAAGTATTAGCTTTCCGAAAAGCTAAGAGGACTACCAACTATAGTAAAGTTTGAGATCGATGGGTATGTAGAAGCTCGCGTAGTTAGGCTGAGAATTTATTTAAAGTATATAGATATAATTTGGTGGGCAGTGCGTCCACGAGCGGACAACTGTTAACCTGTTGGTCAGGTGGTACTGTGGAGTTTCTCTCATATAATCTAACCATTCTACGCCACCTCAAACAAATTGCAAAAGAAACGTTTTATTCATTACTATGTGTTACGGCACGGCCGTTAGTGAGGGCGGAGCCAGGTTGTACTGTAAATTCAAGCATTGAGTGATGTGTTAAATTACTAAATTAGATCTACACTGTATAGCTATACAGTGTATATTGCAGTTAAGTTTCCTTTCTTGATTTCTTTTTTGGCTGACCAGATGTTTGATATCTTGAAGTTTTCCGCCTAGGCGTATTTATGATGACATGACATTAATGTGAGATACATTTTTAAATTTGCACCTCTGGAATCCATTGCAAAAATCAAGTGCAGCATATTCTACAAAGACATTGAAATAAAACATATAGCATAGTTATCTGATATCAACGAAAAGATATACATATATATATATATATATATATACGTGTGTGTGTGTGTGGATGGGTCAAAGAAGTAATAAAGACGGTAAAATCCCATAAAACACTGGATCCTAATGGAGGTATGTCCGTAGGATACGAATTACTTAAAATATTTTAGCCGAGGGGACTATTGGTTTTATATAATAGCTATATTTTCAATTATAGTATATCAATTCTATCTTCTTGTAATATGATGTATATGTACATGTAACTGTTCTGTTTCACTGTGTCTTGAAAAAGGAGCGGATCGCTCCGAAAATTTGACAACCAATACTTGTCCACACTGTTATAATTACATCTTTGCCCCATATATATTGTGGATGAATACATTTGTTTCAGCAACTTACTGTCTCTGTTAGCAATAGAGAAAATGTATTGTTTCCTCAATTAGAAATTGAATCAGTTCAGCACATATAGATTTTTTTTTTAAATCGTGCAGATTTATAAAACAGCAGATTTTCTTTTATGAATAAAAAATAGCTGTGAGATAGTTATAAGAAATGATAATGTTACAGTATGGATTCAATTTTCTTCTTCTATTTTTTTCGTGCAAAATATCAATCAAAAAATTCTTATGAAAATAAATACTTGTATGTTTTTTTATCCTATCATTTTGCGACACTGTGATAAACTCCCTTTTTGTTGACAACCAGCACGTTGTTTTGTTAATATTTCGTTTTCTAAATATATACCACTGCAATCTCTACCCAGAGTTGTAGTAGGGAGTGCAAGGACCGTAACTCCGCGTGATAGTCTCGTTCAATCAGACTCTTGTTGTCTGCGCAAGGGTCTGATTGAACGAGACCACACTGTTAATACAATAATTTTTCGACCATTCAGAACTAGAGCAATGTAGCCGGTAACGTTATGTCAAGAGAATGTACATCTTTAACCGGAACGTATCAACTATTTAAGTATCCTATAGTTAGATATATGTTTTAAATCTTACAAAAATCATTATCTATAGTGTGTGGTTTTTATAGCTCTATATACTGTCCCTGTATACTGTCCAAATTCGAAAACACAGAAAAGTTGGGAAAGGTCAATTATTGGTGGTCAGAGGTCACACAAGCTATTTGTTATATCCATTGACAATATGATGAAATAGATACTAGTTCTATAATGACCCGGTTTTAGAATTTATCCAAAACAATGATACATTGTTCACTACTTTTGAGCGATATTCATAAATGAAAGCAAAATAAACAAAAAAAACACTCAAGTTTGGGTTTAAGATAGTAATATTTGGGACGAACTGACTTATAAATATGACATTATATTAGATTTGTAATGTTAGATAAGAGTCCTGAATTAACTAAATGTTCTATACAGTATTTATGGAACACTCGTAAAACGTTTTTAAAACGTGTTAATTGACGTATCTCTAAGGCGAATAGTAACACAAGTTTTCAGCCAATACTGGTATGGACGAGATAACTTCTGCCGATTTTAGCGATCGTCATTACCCAAAATGTAGTCCGAATTATTCTGACGTTTTATCGACTCTTTTGTATCGGTCTGTCGTCAATTAACGTATTGCGGGAAATAAGCGACCCGCGCCAAGGTCGCTCTTCAAGCTGATATTTTAGAAACAAATCGTCATTTTCACACACATGTCGCACATGGATCGAAAGATCTATTCTTCATGCACAAGATGAACATACATAACATGCCTCAAACAACCAATACAATCACTAAAAACATATGTGTTAAAACTTACTCTGTTTTACTTCACGTTTTTGGTAGCCCCGCCTTCTAATGCCACGTGACTACGGCCTACGTCATAACGGTTGGAAATATCTTCGGTAACGCGAGATCTCGTCAAGTCATGTGACATGGCTCATGCCCTAATTTCCATTAAGGAGGCTCCACCCTTTCACAATTAGCCAGCAGAATTCAATAAAAGTTTCACGTAATGGTTATATCACTATGTAGAGGTGATTTTATGAAAAACTAATCATTCCGATAAACTGGGTATTTTTTTGAAAAAATACCGAAAAATTGGTTTTTTGTCAAATTCAACACTTTCATATTTTATGATGGTGTGGCATTGTTCAAAACTATTACAACAATAACATAATGAAAAGAAACAGCTAATCAACCCTACAAATATTTTATTTATCATAAAATATCTACAACATGTTACAAAGAGCGTTTTATATTGAAATTGTATGGATAAAAGTTACTAAATACAAGCTAAAAGCGAACAGGACACATAGTTTCATACAGAGTGGTAATTTACCTTTTTTATAAGAAAAGGGGAGATAAATCTCTGTTGAAGAAATGGAGACCAATTAGTCTTCTCAATGTGGACTACAAAATTCTAGCTCGAGTAATGTCTGATAGACTTAAAGCTGTTTTACCATCCATTATTTCAGAATTCCAATCGTGTTGTGTAACTGGTCGGGATATTTCGGACACCATTTTTAGTGTACGTGATATCACTGATGTAGCTTCACAGGGAGATTTTGAAGGGTACATCCTCAAAATTGACCAAGAGAAAGCGTTTGATCGTGTAAGTCATACGTATTTATTTAAAGTTTTGGAAAAGTTTGGTTTTGGTAAAAACTTTGTTGATTGGATCAAGATTTTTTATACTAAAATTTCTAGTTCTGTCAAATGCAATGGTAATAAGTTTATCTCCATTCAAAATTCAGTCCGGCAGGGGTGTCCGATATCGGCAATGCTATACGTTTTAGCCGCGAAACCCCTGGGGAAAATGATTTTAAAGTCTCCAGATATTTCTGGTATTAAGGTTCCTCATACAGAATTTGAGTCAAAATTGTATCAACATGCAGATGATACAACTTTGATACTTAGGACTAAAGCGTCTATTGTAAATGTGTTTAACCTATTGGAGGTGTACAGTAAGGGTTCTGGTGCCAAGATAAATAAAGATAAATCAGAAATCCTATGTATTGGTAAAGGAAATATGACAATTGCCGAAATTGAAAAATTATGTATCAAATTATGTGACAAAGTTATATGTATCCTGGGTGTATATGTTGGTATTGATTTACATATGTGTAATGAAAAGAATTGGGAAAATAAAGTTGTTTCTTTCAGAAATATTCTAAGAATGTGGTCGCAAAGACAGCTAACTCTTCAAGGAAGAGCTACGGTAATTACTTCCTTATTGATGTCCAGATGTTGGTATTGTCTTACTTCACAGACTGTACCTCTGACAGTTATTAGGGATATAACGAAGTTATGTATTAACTTGTTATGGCATAGTGGTGCTCATCTGGTGGCATATGACACTATTGTTGGTAAAAGGAAGGATGGTGGTTTAAATATACCTGATATTGAATTAAAACTGAGATCTTTTCGATTAAAGTTTTTGTTCAGATGGTTGGACATATCATGTACAGCAGTCTGGAAGAATATGTGTAACTACTTTCTCAACAAAATACTCGATTTAAATCTTGACACTGAAATAATTTTTTGCAAGTTTCCAGATAAGTATTTAAGATCATTGCATATTGTTTATCGTGAAATGTTGAAGGCTTGGTATGCCTTCCAGGCAGTGAGTGAAGTTTGTTATAATATAGGTGTTTTTTTATGAACAGCCTTTGTTTTTTAACTCCAGCTTTTTGAACAATGACAAGCCTATCTTTATGGAGTCTTTCGTAAAGGTGGGTATAACTTCAGTTAAACATATGACACTAGAAGTCGTGTCCAAGTTTCTATCTTCAAATGCTGTAGCGGATGTTGTTTAAGAAACCAACCGTGATATTTCTACAGATGTGGTTTTATCTGATTTTAATACTGTTATGGGATGCATTCCAGCAGATTATAAGAAAGTGATTTTAACTAATGTACATACCAATATCAGAACAGAGTCCAGGCCATATG